CTTCAGCCTCATCATCATCGTCTCCTACAGTTAGAAATTAAGTTAAATTCTTAGAAAATAATTAAATTAATCCTTAAATAATAAACAAACATTCCCCCCCCCCCCCCCCAACCTGGCACAATTTATTAAATTTAAAATTACAAGCCTCATTAAGTCAGTAAAATGGCTTTTTCCTCACTGACAGCTACTCAGTTGTTAAAGAAAGTCTCCTTGCTTTGTACTGGCAACTAATTAATTACTATTGCAACCAATGTAGATATACCAGATATCACCACACAGCCTGAACAAATAGATCTGATTTCATAACATACAAAATGGTAGTAGGGACAGTCGGTTATAAAAACAGGATTTGAGAGAAAAAAAATTAATAAATCTGAAGGATTATAACTATCAATATTGTCTTCATAAGAGAGTTCAAATTTAATGCTGAATTTTCACTACAGTCTTTTTGCACTGGTGCAGAAGCTGTATTCTCACCATCAACCTCATCTCCTCCTTCAGCCTGCTGTTGCTCAAACTTGGCCTTGAGGTCCTGCTGAGAGCGCAAGAACCTGGTCTGCTTAGGAGCTGCAGTTGGCAGTTTCACCCATTCTTCCTCCAACTCTTTCAACTGAAAGAAAAGCATCAAATACGTAATATTACAAATTGTATAGACCATTAACATTGAGAGATGAATGCCACTTAACTCATAAGACCCAATCTTTATGAATCTCAATGCATATTTTTAAAATGAAAACATTATGTATTTGAAAACTTCATGGTGAGAAGCAGACTCACCTGTACAGAGTTGATATTCTGGAGGGGAGTTCGCAGAGCATCGCGGATCCATCTATAGATCTCCACCGCCAGCAGTCTGGCCTCATCTCGAACTGCCTTTTCTCGAGACTCAAACTGTTTTGGCAACACTTTCACTACAGGCTTGAGAGTAATGATCTTCGATCCAAAATCACTGAAAAAGAACAAATTTAAAAGTATTTTATGCTGAATAAGTGCCAGCAAGTAAGTGACAATTTGACCACCGCATTTTCTTCAGTCTTATGGTTACCAGGTTTAAAAATTGCCTACTCACCAAAGTGCTTTCCTTAGCGTCTCAATGCAAGCGACAACAATCTTGGGGTTCTTGTTATCCAGTCCTTTGATCAGCTCATCCTGGACCACCTCTGCCTTCTCAATCTCTATGTACATGAGGCAGATATCAGTCCCCAGCTCCTTGGCTCGTGCTTTGGGCTGGTTGAAGACTTTGCCGACCACTCCAGAAACCACTTCCCCTGTTGTCCTGCAAGACAAGACTTTCCATTAGATCCCATTAAGACATTATAGATACTAGGCCCCACAAATCGACACTATCAGTATCAAGAAAATTCTATACTGCACCAAGTACGTTCCCCGTTTCAGGGCTCTACTCTTACTTTTCTTTTTAGGAGCGCTTGTGCTTTTAGGAATTTAGGAGCACGGTCAAAAATTTAGGAGCACCTTCTAATCAGTAATCAAAAATTCTGATAAATTTACCTTCCCATTACGAGGTGATATTTGACTCCTTAAAGTGATTTACAGGGAATTTTGTTTTTACCTTAGTAATGGCATTTTTCTAACTTTATTAAAAGTGTCATCTTTTGTCAAATTCAAAAAAATATATTTATAAGCTTTTTAACATTTCTAATTAAAACAACAGAATAAAAGCCAAGTAGAATAAGAAGTATAATAAGAATAAGTTACCAATCAAATTAAATCAGTATTTAAGAAATAAATTTGCACTACAGAGTTAGCACAGAAGAACACACAAGTGGCTTGTAGGTGTATTTTCAGACGTTTAATGAGGCTCAGCGGTTGCATGAGTGCAATTAAATTCATGTTAAAAACTAAACTTGCCAGCAGGTGGCGGCAAGTCACTGATTTTATCACTGAATCATTCATTCAATTGATTCATTTGAACGTCTGATTCATTCAGGAACGAAGTACATGATTGTCTTTGGGTAGTGGGTAATTGAATCGACTCGCTAGATTAGTTTAAAAACGCAGTTCATTCGTAAACGAAATACCGCTGTGTTTGAATGGAGATGCGCAGCGGCTCAGCTGTTACTTTTTTTTTTTTTTACTATTTTCGTTGACGTAATAGAGCAAAATAAGCCAATTGTGTTGTTGTGGGACAATATAAGTCACTTAATATTCACTTGTTTAATGAACTGTTGTATTAAATCAATATCACATTTGCAAACTTCCTTAATCATTAAAAGCGGTCACTCATCTTAGTTCATCGCGATCTCACAAAACTACATTATAATCAACGAAGCTCCTTACACTGCACATTAATCTCTTATTTACACTGGGTCTACACTTTGTTTGTTATAATGTGAGGATACGTCTGTGATACATTACTCAACGCTGCAGAAACACACAAGTAGGCTACGTTAGAGCCTTTGAAGCTCCCTCAGCGCAAACACAAATATGCTGACCGGGTCAGTCGCACTGGTGCTCCTAAATATTTTTTCATAGTCGCACGCAGTAGTTTTCAGTCGCACTGTAGAGCCCTGCGTTTAAAGCACCAACTTGAAGACAATTTTGGTGTCACAGATAGCAGCAGAAATATCAGCCTTTTTCTTCAAAAAGCTTGTTTAAATTTAAGGAATCGCAGTGTTATTCATGGAAACGAGGAAATTAGGTATATTTCCATGTTTTCTGAATGGGTTAAAACTACCATGTTCCTAAACAAGACCTACTTTGCCTGATGACTCTCACTCAATCCAGAAATAGACTTTTTACCAGGTATCACGTTTCTTTGCTTTGTTCCAAAACTCAGTTGTAAACAAAAAGCTCTTGCCAAGCATTATTCCATATAAAACAGGTCACAGAAACATAAAGAGCTGCTCAGGGATTGAGGGAAAAAGCAAACACTGCTATTAATCCTCCAAGGACAAAATCAGTGGTTTGTGAAACTAATGACTAGCACTAAAGACTTCTGTTCCCACTTCTATGATGCTTTTTGACATTTAGGGAAAAAAAAAAAAAAAAAAATCTACTTACTTGCCAGCCACATGTGCATTCTCGATAAAAGCAAGTGCTGCCTCCAGCCCTTTGAGTTGAGCTACGGCATTTGAATCCGTTACAAATTTCTTGATAAGTCCAAGGTATTTGCCCCATTCTGGGCTCTTCTCGTCTTTTATCCTATGGAAGAGCTTCAACGCTTCCTCGTATCCATTTAATCTCGCTTTCCAAATCTAAGGGAAACAAGAAGATCAATCATGACAACGAACAACTGAATAAATGAGCTTGTGACTTGATGAAGTGACCCACTTTCTTCAGGAGCTGATACGTTTAACCATTATTCATAATACAGGACACATGAACTCAAGGACACTATGTATATGAAATGCTTTATTTCCTGAGTGGTAATGTGCTGTATATGCAAAACCTCAGGTTGATAAAACAAAGTACCAGATATTAAACTGAATTTATCAAGAAACTCGAGCAAAAGTTGCGTTGCTCTTAATGTGGTGTGACCAATCGATGTAGCAATTAAATAATCCACAATTTAAGAATCTGTCAGAATGAACTAAATGATTCAAACAGGAGCACTGCTCACTACCATCTCCCCGATTGTCCCGCCTCTTTACTACAAGTTCCAGCAAGAATAAAAATGAATAAACATCAGAGGGTAGGTTGAAAGAAGCAACGCAACTGCCTGAAATCCATCATGCCATCGTCCAATCAGTTTAAACTGTGGGAAGACGTCACATGTAAACAACCGGTCACCTAACATGACATTCACCTCAGTGAAGTTCTCCAGTAACTAGTTAGTTCGAAAGATTAACTCTAGAGAAAACATATCACTACATTTATATATTATATTCATGTCAAAAAGTTTGGGTTTAGTACATTAAAAAAAAAAAAAATAATAATTAACACTCGTTTATCAAGGATACATTAAATTGATGACAGTGACAGTAAAGACATTTCTAATTTTACAAAAGATTTCCATTTCAAATAAATTCTGACCTTTGAACTTTCCATTCAAAGAATCCTGATAAAATATCAAAAAAATATTAAGCATAACTTTTCAACATTGACAAGAAATGTTTCTTGAGCAGCAAATCAGCATATTAGATTGATTTCTGAAGAATCATGTGACACTGAAGACTGGAGTAATATCTCCTGAAACTTTACCATTACAGGAATAAGTAACCTTTTAAAATTTTAACATTAGAAAACAGTTACAATTTTAAATTGTAATATTTCACAATGTTACTGTTTTACGGTATTTTTGAACAAATGCAGGCTTGGTGAGTATAAGAGACTTATTTTAACAACATTACTTTTGAACAACGTGTATTATAATACATTTAAAATCAAATTCTATCAAATAAACATCTAAAAATGATTTTATAGCATCCAAGATTTGCAGTGGCTTTGAGTAAAAAAAAAAAAAAAAACATGACTGAAAACCGACACTGTTTTTTTCTTTTTAAAAACTCAAAATGCATTTTTGGGTGCAAGTGACGCAAAATGACTTAACATGACAACCATATAGCAAGGTGGTTGTTCACTTGTAAATGAGATTGCTGACAACAGGGGTGTTATTTCCATATAGACGTTGCTTGATTTTAAATCAGTGCTTTGCATGCATTCATCTCTAAAGGCAACAATTAGGGTGAGCCATCCGCTGACTGTTTAGCTCTACAACCACAAGCTGGTTGTCTTACACCATCAGGAGATTCTGGATGGGCCAAAATATAAAAGTAGCCGGGATCACTCACCTTGTGTTCACATTTCTGGTCCATGGGTAACTTCATCCATTCACTGTCGTCCCCCATGGCTATTTTCTGTCTGTCTTATCTATTCAGCTAAACAAAAGAAGGGGAAACTTTGGTTGCTCGCACAGCATACAATGCAGAACAAGCAAGTCTACCAGACCAACTTTTACACTTCATCACAGCATTCTCCACTAAATATGTAAAGGTTACAGTTTAAGACACATAACAAACAAACACGACATAACAAAATTCAGAAGTTTAAAGTTAAATGTTAATTAGACATGTTTGAGCTCATCTGATGCATGCAACAAACATCTCAACCATCTAAAGTATTAAAAACAAATGTAATTAAGATGGCAAGGGGAACCTGACCAGCTTGTCACAATAACTCTGCAAGATCATCATCCTCATGCATTTCAACAACAACAGCAACACCCTCAAGCCAGACAGAAGAAATGCCTTGATTCACTTCATAGCAAATGCACACATCATCCAGATCTGCAGCCAAAGCAGAGCAACATCCACTAATGCATCTCCCAGAAGAGGCTAGTTTCATATTACATATCGATCCGAGCCGAAAAGTAAATCCTTAAACACAAAAGTCCAGGCTTTAAGTGAGGAAAACACCATTAAAAACCATATATGCCCAAGAAACGTGTAGAAGAATGATGCGTGCAGAAACCGCCGCCAATTCAGCCCGCCCAAAACAAACAGAAAAGAGCAAATAAGGAGTGTTCTTCGCAATACCAAACGATTAAATGACTTAACAGCTGAAATATTTATAGATTAAGTAGTTTGAGGGTTTTAAAACCGTTAACGTTAGTGGTTTGTAGCGCATCACATGTGAGAACACTCTCGGGGTGCAGCAGAGCCGTTAGTGACCTGCAACTGCTGTCGCTCGGGCCATGGCTTTTTGCAGGATAAGACGTTTAAATACGTTCCTACTTCAATCAGGACACAGCAAATCTACTCCTTACAGCTTTCTAAACCCATTTCCGTGTATGGTTTGTTTAGCTTCGAAGTGTAAATATGGTTAAATTTAAATATACCGGTTAGCTGTTAGCACATACGCGGCCCTGGCTGACTGTCTGTTAGTCCTGCAACAGCTTAAACCATCACGAGATTCAAACAATATCGCCATTTTCACAGAGTTCCCCAACAAACACAACGCTGGAAATGTCAAAACTGACCCTTGCGATCTAACCTGATACGTGACGAAAAAAATGAAAAACCCGACTCGCACTATTGTTTGTCACAGATATAAAAGCGGCTTGATTCAGTCCGTCACTAAAACTGAGGCCCTCAAATAAAACGCAGCAACCCACAACGCGGCAGAAAACGCTTAAAACGGCTTTTGCCAAATAATCTCGGATCTCTCCCAATCACAAGTAAATATATCAATTTTAGTTACCTGCTTTCAGAGAGGGAAGACAGGGCGATCTTCATCAGCTGGGACCGATATTTGGTCATTACTCTCCAGGCTTTGAAACGCCTCCGAGGGCGGGGAGACAGGAGGAGGAGACGCCTAGCTTTCATTCAAACCACCACCTCGTCTGTTATAGGCTGTATAGAGACAGAGCGACACGCGTCATAATCTGAAAACCACGCCCACCTGCGGGGAAAACAATCCAACGCTCTCCATTGACTTTGTATTGCGGGAAGCTGCCTCCTTGTCATTTCTGACTTATAACAAAAAACAGAGCAATGCCTAAAAGCTGCTATGTGACAAGGTGTACAGTAAACAAGCTGAAAAACCCAGAACTACGTTTTTATTAGCTGTCGACCCAAAAAACGAGCGTTTAGGACACAAAAGTAGAGCGCCACGTGTCATATTACTCTTGAGAACTGCGCCCACTGGAGGGAAACGTAATCGGCGACAAGACCATTCATTATTTTTAACCATGTCAAAGGATTATTTAACCACCCTATGTGAATCTGAGGGGAGGAGATATATTAAGAAGCTACATTTTATTGGTCTATGTCAGTGCCCCTTTTCCTAACCTTCCTTTTGTTTGAGAAATGATCCAACTGAATATGGAGGATGAAACCTATGGAGGACGAAATCTGCAAAAACAATAAATAAATACACAAATAAATAAATAAATGTGTGCATAAATACACGTATTCTTGTTTAAATACATAAATAAATAATTATACATGTGATGAAAGTAGGCAAATAAATTAAATAAATTGGTGGGCAAATGGAAAATGTTTAAGGAAATGCTAAACTCATCCTGACTATTTTCCTTTGATCACATTTATTTTTTCCTCTGCGCAACATGCTAATGAGAGGGTGTCAATTATGCAAGAGTAGGCGGATCGTGTGTGACGCGCTTGAGCGTTTGCCTGCGCATGCGTATTAACTTCATCAGTCAAGGGGACTGATTATTATCTTACACTTTTTCATAGGGTTAGTTTTGTAGTTATAATCATGAGAGAGTTAAATCATAAAAGATTTTAAGTGGCCAATGTAAAATATTAATGCTTACATAGCTCTTAATTGCAATACTGAACCGTTATTTGCTTAATAAACATACTTTCGTTGCCTGTATTTTCTGTTCTGATAACTAATGGGAAAAAACTGTCTGTTCCTCGATTAAACCACTTCATACCAGTCATCTCACGATGACCATGGGATACTGATATTACAGTTGTCTCTAGCTGGAGACTCAATCAGGTTACAAAAAATGACGTCAGGAAACGACACTGGCCATTTCTTTTGTGTCGTTTGTAAAGTCACAGATACTGTACG